GACCCCCCCCCCCCTACCAAAACTCAAGATTAAGATTGAGATTCCGCCGCCATAAACAGTGGTCTTACAGGGACTTGCAGCACGGTTCTGTAAGTTTTAGCATACGCATACACCTGTACCCGCCATAAGGTATGGTATGCAGGCATTTCGTCGGTGATAAATTGGGAGTTGGTAGGGGGAAGGGACCACCGCAAGCCTTGCACCAGCAGGCCACAAGAGCAAAGCAGGCTGGTGTCACGCATGCGGCACGTGTTTCGACAGGGAGCTCTCGACTGCAATGTTGCCGCCCTGAGGCCTTGGTGTGGTGGGGCCCACGGCATTTACATACCGCTCACGACTATTTAGGAGGAGGCAGTGGCAGCCGCAGCGGACAACGACCCAGCGTTGTAATGCAGGGCAAGAGTAATGTAGAATCTCATCTCACCATCCCTCTACCTTCTTCGACCAGCTTGGTGATTATCTCCTGCCTCAGACGTACGGTGTCCATGGCTCCTTTCCCGTTGCCTCCTGCCGCCCCAATTTCCGTGGACCTTCGAACGAGCTCCATTGCATTCTTAGAGAACAGAGCCCTTTCCACCTGCCAAAAAATGGATGGTAGTGCGAGTTGATTGCATGCGAAGGTAGCCCGACATGAAGGGGAGGGTGAACGGTGGCAGCGCCTTCAATGGATGGTGGCTAGAACGCAAACACCATGCACGTCTTTACAGCAGTATTAGAGGTGAAAATTACACACAGCCAGCGCCAGCAGTCTAGAAGCGAACGGCGCTAATACTGTACTACACGTACGACCAACAGACGGAGCACTGCCCGCTTCAGCGTGAAATGCTACAGCAGTCGACAGATACACCGGCAAAGCTTGCCTGATATGTACCCTTTGACGTGTGGCATCCTACTACCCATCTGCCTCCAAATAATTCATGAACCCTGTACTCAGTTTCTCCGCCGCCGTCTCCACTTTTCCGAGACCAAAAAGAAAACGCAAGAACGGGGCGGTGTCTCACGTCTCAAATCCTTCTACATTTTGGACGCCAAGTTAGACGTGGAGTTAAGAGAACTGAGGAACTCTCGCATGCGAGTTTGCTAGACGACGAGCAGTGCTCGGTCCTGCTCATGCCTACGTGCTGGTGTGGGAGGAGAAGGTGCACACGGAGAGGCATCTCGAGGAGGCACTGCAGAATGAATTTCAGAATTTATGACTGCGTTGTCAGCGCGTATCAAAATGGCCGGCAGCGTTTCGCTGTGCTTGCAACACTATGGATGATGCTGTACTTCGACTGAGATATCTAGCACATACATCTGCATGCATCGGCAGCGATTGCTTGTCCCTTCCCCTGGTACTCTGAGTGCGTGTGTGTGGAGATTTTCGTAAAAAGGAACAACAGCAGAGAGCGGTTGAACTATTACTATTCGTCTCTTACCCGTTGAGGATTGAGCGATACCTCAGGGCTCTGTGCTATCTTCACAAAGCAGCTTTCCTCCAATGAGCGCATCTTCCCACTGCTCCCAATGCTGTTTGGCGATTAGTCCAGCTGCTGCTGCCGCTGCTGCTGCTCATGTCCTTCTGGAGCTGCTGAGCAGAAGCCGGGGGCCACGTAGAAGAGATTTATGGAGAGAGGTCGTGTGTGGTCTCTGCACGTCTGCACCAGTCCAGCAAATCATCCCCTCAGCAAGCCCGCCCTAGGCCTTGGAAAGATCCATCCGGAAAGATGATAGAGGCGAATACACGACATCGAACCCTCGAAAGATTCGGCAACAGCCTCTTCTTGTGTCGTGCGTGCGTCAGTCACGCTCACGCCAACAACGCCCGACGCAAAAAAAACAGATAGTGGTTGCCGACAGGACACAAAAACCAGGAACCGTACCGCCCCCAACGAACGGACGGTCGAGGTCGGTCTACTTGCTGCCATTGCTGGGAACCGCCGTGCTGCAACGATCGATTGCTTTCAGGCAAGAAGGTTCTATCGGTCTACAGTCAAGGCCGATCGTCTACACAGGTACGTGAGGTGACAAGAGGAGAGGAACCAACCCCAGCAGGTAAATAGTTCGCCCGCTCCCCCAAAGACACAACGAGACACACAAGGAGGAGATGATAAGCTCGTGATCTGCAGCAGCTTTTACGGTTGCACCCCTTCTCGTGTGTGATCGTGTGATCTACCTTTCTCTCTCTCGCTCGATTTCTCCACTGCTGTCTCTGCCTGTCCATCCTTGTCAACAATCATGTGCGCAAGAGCCAAGAAATTTAATATGGCATAGGGCGTGTGTGTGTAGCAGTGCGTGGTAGATACAAGTAGCTTCTCAGTCAGCATGTCAGAATCGATGGAGACCTTTAGACGAATACAATGTTGTCTACACTCTGATTAAAACCTGATGGCAAGTTTTCTTCTGTGATGATCGACGATAGATAAAAGTTGGTAGAGCCGTAAGTATGTACAGCAGTAACTACAGTTTTCACCATGGGTGAGAGGAGCGCGCGCGAGAGCAGCCCACTGTAATCTACCGAATCTACCATACGGGTCTTTCTTTCTACACGAGATAAATAGCATGTCGATGGTCGTCTCGGACAGAAACGGTCCGATCGGGAACAAGGTCTACAAAAACTTTACCAGCTCTGACTTTGCCGACATTAATCAAGAGTCATACTGAGACCGCGCCGCTGGCGAGATGCGCACGAGGGCAGAGCGGCTGGTACACGAGCGAAGCGCAGCACAAGATCTCCGGAGCGTCTAAAGAGATTAAGGCGGCCCCATCAGCAACTGCGTGGGGCCTCAAAGAACAGCGCCTTCGAGGCGACCCTGAAGGCGATGCTCAAGGCGGCGCGGAAGAAGCGCAGCATCGCGAGGTGGAGAGCACTGGAAACGTTCTTCGAGGGCTATGTACGGCAGCTCGAGAAGGAGAGCCGCGAGGGGGATCAGGCGGGTTTCTACAGGCACCTGAAGATGATCGACGTCGAAGGAAAGAGGTCGTTCACCTCCCACAACGTCACGGACGAGGACGGCAAGGTCCTTCGGGACCCCACGTTTTTTCGCCAACGGTGGGCACGGTGGTTCCATAAGCTTCTCAACACCGAGTCGCCGACCATCGACCTGCATGCGGCTGACAAGGTCACGCGGTGGCCCACGTGCGTGCCACTCGACGACATCCCATCTCTACTTGAGGTAGAGGAAGCGGTACGGGAAATGGTCAACAGAAAGGCCGTCGGGCCGGACGACCTACCGGCTGAGCTGATCAAGCTTTTCCTGGACGGAGATCAAGGTCTCCTCCGCGAGTTCCACGCCACTGTCGTGGACGTGTGGCAGACGGGGGACGTACCACAGCAGTGGAAGGATGCCACCATCAAAGTGCTGTTCAAAAAGGGGGACACGATGGAGTGCGGCAAATACCGGGGCATCTCGCTCGTCGCGCACGCCGGCAACGTGCTGCTTAAGGTCGTCGCTACACGACTGAGCCACTACTGCGAGCGAGAGGGCATCCTCCCGGAGGAGCAGAGCGGTTTCCGCCCACACCGGTCGACGCTCGACATGCTGTTCGCCATCCAGCGGCTCCATGAGCTCGCGAGGAAGAAGAGTACTGCGGTGTTCGCGTGCTTCGTCGACCTCACCAAGGCATACGATTCGGTGGACCGAGACCTACTGTGGGACGTGCTCCGACGCTTCGGCGTGCCCCCGAAGATGCTGGCGGTCATTCGCCACTTCCACGAGGGCATGAGGGCGCGCGTCCGAACGGACGACGGGCAGTACTCGGAATGGTTCGGCGTGGGCCAAGGCCTCCGACTGGGATGCAACCTGGCCTCGCTGCTGTTCAACTTGTTCTTTGCCGCGATGCTCATGGTCGCCGTGGCCGAGTTCGACAAGGACCCCAAGGTGATGGCGGACATGGTCAAGATCAAGACACAAGTGGAGTACACGGGCAAGAAGGGCAGGTCGGCGGGGAAGAAGACGACGGTGGTGACGGACGCGGAGGCCTTGTAGGCCATGCTCTACGCTGACGACGCGGCCATCGTCTCGCGCTCGCCGGAGAGTCTCGAGAAGATGATGTCGGTCATCGTGCGCGTGGCCGGCCTGTTCGGACTGATGGTATCGGAGCCAAAGACGGATATCATGTGCATGCTGCCGAAAGGGATCGAGGAACGCCCGTTCACGGTCAGCGCCGCCGGCCAGACGTACAAGCAGACAGATCGGTTTGTGTACGTCGGACGTACCATCTCGGCGGACGGGAAGGCCGACCGGGAGATAACGAGCCGCAGCTGCCGAGTGTGGAAGTGCTACCGCCGGAACAGTGCTTCGATGTACGACAGGCGACGGGCCAGCTCAAGATTTGGCTACTCCAGGCTAAAGTCGTTGAGAATCTCCGATATGGGTGCGCCTCGTGGAGCCTAACAGCGGGGCACTACACGAAGCTAAATGGGACCCACCGCCAGTTCCTTACACGGTGCATCGGCTGGAGAAAGCGGAAACGCTCAGGCCTCCCCCTGTCCTATGCCCAGGCCCTCATCCAGGCAGGCTGCGAGGAAACCATAGAGGCCACCGTGCGCAAACGGAGACTGTGTTTCGCGGGTTGTATTCTGCGCATGGAGGACAAACGCCTCCCCAAGCGCATGCTGTTAGGAGCGACGGCGGGGGGCGTGGGATACCGGGGCGGGCAGGAGAGCGACTGGGTGTCTCGTCTAGGAGAGAACCTCGTGGCCTTCAACATGGGAGACAAAAAGGAAGGGGTAAATGGAAAGTGAGCGCCAAGGACCCGGAGGTGTGGTACAACAAGNTTGTATTCTGCGCATGGAGGACAAACGCCTCCCCAAGCGCATGCTGTTAGGAGCGACGGCGGGGGGCGTGGGATACCGGGGCGGGCAGGAGAGCGACTGGGTGTCTCGTCTAGGAGAGAACCTCGTGGCCTTCAACATGGGAGACGAAAGGGAAGGGGGTAAATGGAAAGAGAGCGCCAAGGACCCGGAGGTGTGGTACAACAAGGTCGAGGACGGGGCGGCATGGTTCATGAGGAAATGGCACATGCAGGAGGCGGAAGCGTCCGCGAAGCGCCAGCGCGCGAGGGAAGCAGAAGCAGAGAGTACGGCCATCTCAGGACCGAAGAGAAAGAGAGTCGGGGAAGCGGCGGTGGGGGTGAAGAAACGGCGACCGGGCACTGCTGTAGAAGCGAGTAGGGCGGCCGAGGCAGCACTTGTGGCGAACTATGTACCCGGCTGATGTTGTTGCGCCCTGTTTCCCTCCCTGCTGTATACTATACTCCTTTTATGTATGTCCTTTGTATTGTCTTCGGCCTCTGTGCTGTGTTTCGGTTTTTTCATGACGTCCCTGCCTACTCTGCTGTGTTGGGTACCTTGATCTCGCTTTGCTGTTGCTTTTGTTTTTGTACATCTGGCTGTCTGCCCATCTGCCGCCTCTTTGTCCTGTTTGCTCCGTTACTCCCATGCCCTGGTGCGTAGTGCCTGTTGCTGGTACGTTACCCTTTTTTTCTTGTGGGTGGGTGTGGGAAGCGTCCTCCTTTGTTATTGTTTTTGTTTTATTTTGATCGGTTTCCGAGGGCTCTTTTCTCGAACGGTCGGTGCGGCACCTGTTATTTTCTTCTTATCATTTTTTTTTCTTTTTCTGAGTGGTTTGTACCCTATTTTTGTTTTGTTTCCCCGCGGCGTCGTATGTGCGGGGTTTTGAGACCACAGGCTCCCCATTTTTCGTGGACTGTAGAGCTAATGTGAGAAACAACAACAACAACAATAACAACAACGCCCTTCATGATGAGCTCTTTTCTTGCAGCTGCCCCGTTTTTGGTGTCTGCTCTTTTCTGTACGCGCATTGTTGCACCACAAATTCGGGTTTTTGTTCTTAATACCACGTCAGAACTGAGCACGTGTTCTTATGGCCAAGTTCTTACATTTTGAATTTGTCGAGGCTGCATTTCTTAACTGCTAATTTCTTAAGTGCGAGCGCCATCTGTACTGGGTGTCGGGCAATATCAACTCCCATTTGTTCTTTGCTCAACTATTAAGCACGTCAAAGCTGTTCGTCATCGGCGCACCTTGATGGTACTTTCGAACAAACAATCATAATGCGGATGGATGTCACCGAAGCGCACGTGGGCATATACACGATGGTCATCCTGAACTCGGGGCCTCTTCCATTACAGGATGCTATTCCCCAACGACGATCCGGTCCGAAAACTGGCAGGTCCTCGGTTCCCCCCGCCGTGCATCTCACAGAGGAGAGAGGACAAGCAAGGAGTAGCGGGAGGAAAACCGCAATTAGACTACACCGGCAAAATATTTTTTTCGCAAGATTCTTAGCAAGATGAAGATGCGAAGCCGGCTGTTTCCTCCTGCCGCCGGGACTTGGAGGCGCCGCCCGTCTAGACCGTTGTCGTCTCCGCCAACATGGCTCTGGTTGATGCTGACGTGTTTTTTCGGCACCGGGGGGTGGCCATCACATCTCCCACAAGACTCACGGAAGCAAATCGTCTCGGCTGTGGCTGCGCCATACAACAACGAGGACGAGTTCCATGGACCCCGACCGGCAGTGCGGCGACTGGCTTCCACAGGAATCATGGAGTCTTCGATTAGGCAAGAGAGGCCGTTCAGTGGGGCGTGGATGAAGGGCTTTGTGTCCGATGAGCCCGGGTGCGGCGACCGCTGGCGAACGGTGGGCTACCGCTGGCAGCAGGAGGCCGGGGTGGTCACCAACTTGAACAGTTGAGCGACGGTTACGGTTTCTTTGTAATGGAGCAACTTACGTAAGCAGTGTGTGGGCATTTGTTTTCATTGGAGCGTTGTACAGCGCTACATGAACATTTTGAAATTTCGAATGAAATTTCCGTTGGATTTGAACATATATTTGGCATCGTTGTTGGGTATTGGAAGTGCATGTAGCTCGAAGGAAGATCAGCTCCGCTCCGCTTTCGCCCTCTCCGAGTGAGCGCTGAGCGAAGCCTGCTGTAATACGAAGAATGAAACACGAGATCAAACAACAACTCGGTGAGTACCTCGAAGCTAGGAGCAGCGGACATTCTCTCTCCAACGCTATTGTTGTGTTCCTCACTGCTGTCTGCTGGAACCGGGGCCTATATCGAAATTCTGATTCTTTGGAACTCTCTGAAAAAGGTGTCCCGAAAGCGTCCGTCCGTTCCCCCACTCCTCCCGATCTACTCACGGGTAGGTAGAGGAATATTGATAGACGGATCGATGAGGCTGCGGCGGGGGAAAATGTCCAATAATATGTCGTCAAGGTGGTTGTTGAGCGGGGGCTTTGATTCGACACGTACCGTTAAGAGGCGGAGAGATGGTACCAGTCGCAGAGATGGCGCCGAGGTGCGCAAAAAAAACGAGAATTATATGATTATTATCATTCGATTTCGGCACATTGGTCGGTGAGAACAGTGCAAACTCACAGGGAGGGAAGATTACCGAGGATCTCACCTATACCTCAAGTCCAAGATTGAGCTTTGTATTGGAGCTGCTATGTGAGGTACATCCCTTTGACACGGGGTGCCCCTTGTTTCATTTAATTCGGCGTGCATATGAAAGTTGTATCCCATTTACTCAACGAAGCACACACATCCCTACACATGTGTCGTGGTAGTTGGACCCTTGAACTAATAATCAGGTAGATATCCCGATTTTGCGCCTTATTGACTTAAGGTCCACGTTCAAAAGGCCGCGACGCTATGCGTGGCTTCACCGTCCAGTACTACGAAAATCAAGAGCAAGTAAGTGTCTTTGGGGTCGGGAAGAGCGAGACAGCGCTTGTGCTCGGCCGCAAGATACCTCTTGTTCAAGCGAACCGCCGACAATACTGGACGCTCCCCGTACTCCCTTCACCTGACTGCTGGAAGGAAGAAACATCACTGAAGACAGGAAAGCACGGTTACGAACATGAAGACAACAAAGAGACATCGACGATGGTGTTGATTTAGGATTTCGAGCCATTTCTTACCCCGTCATTTCTCCTCCCGTGGCTGTTATGTTTCGTGTTTGTGTATGTGTCTGTCATGGCCAAATCAGACCTCCTGGAGACCTGGGTGTACGCTGTCGTTGCAAGGCAACGCGAGGACGTGATGGTCGTGGATGAGTCTGGCATCCTTGACAACGTCTCTTGCGAGGCTTCTACCAAGGGGAACGTCAAGTCGGGAATGGACTGCATCTGGGCCCCGATCCCGCACCTGTGCCTTTCCCAGAGCCAGCAGGTAGGTGTCGTGGTTGTTTGCTGCGTCCTGTTGTATTTACATCCATGATTTGTGGAGCGAGCCAGCAGCCGAGAGTGGTAGAGGTGTACGCAGCCGCACGAAGGATGTCATGTACCTCGAACTGTTTTCAGTCAGTTCGGTTGCCTCGGTAAATGAGGTGCGCCCTTGGTGCTCAAATGTGCGGCTCTCATTGGCTCAAGGCTTGCACGAAACAAGACAACGGGGTTAGCCCCCTCAGCGATTTCACCGTTCATGGGACTCCCCCGCCCCTTCCTTGCAGTTCGCAAACGAAGGGATGATGCAGAATGCGCTCGTCTCCTTCCTTTGAAAATTCGACTTCGTCTATCGTCTGCGAGCAAGATGCTTTAGCAATGCGTGATCAGAACCTGACCCTCAAAGTGTCACAATGATCTCGCCGCTGTCCCTCTTTTCCCGCCCCTCAGCTACATGTAGTATGGAGGTAAGAACATTGTCAATACTGCCGGCGCGCTCTCTTCCGCCCTCACTTTCTCTCGCAAGTAAAGCCTTCGCATGAAACGCTTGGCGACGTGTCCTTACAGGAGTGGGAGACGTTTATGCGTACGAGAGGAGCCGCGGAGCTAGGCATTCGGTCGGCGACAAGTCTGACGTTCGACAGTGTGCAGAAGTCGATGCGTGATAACTCGGAAGACTGGCTGCGAGAATTGGGCCTGGACCTCTTCAGGGCTCGTCAGGCGCGTGAACTATAAAACATCAAAATGTTGGAACGATGATGTTAGTGAAAACGCTCGTGACATTTTTTCCCATCTGTCAGTTTATTTGGACAACGCATGGGCCACACACTTACGACCTTGTCACGACAAAAACTGGACACGTATTTAGTCCTGAGTGAACCATCCATCCATCACATCTTAAGTTCGCCATCTTACCCTTTCAAGTTGGTTTTCGGGAAGTACCTGCATAGGTCTTGAAGGGTTGACTTGGGCTGCTTCGTGTAGGGTGATGCAAATTCGTAGCTATTGTGAAGGGCTATGGATGGTCGCACGGCCGTGAAGAGTCGGGTGCGTATTTCAAATTAGTGTACGTACTTCTGTACATATACCTAGGTGAGGCACCCGTCGGTTTGTTCCACGAATCGATCTGTCTTGTCAATCCGTCTTGATCTAGCGCCACCCGCCCGCCTTCCCTTTGTGCGTTTGTCTTGTGCCTTGAAAAACACCAACACCTCCTCGGATCGCTGGCTGTAGTTCCTTTCGAATGGAGTTCTGTGGAACCACGTGCAGCCGTGGGTGAAGAAGGACATGAATAAGCTGCTAAGCCTTACTCCAGATGAAATCAGGAAGGGTCCGTTTATTGCGCTACACGTGGCGGATGGGCAGGGCAATCGGACGACAGCAAGAGGCACCCACAGGGGGCCAACGATGGGAACAACGCACGTTGTGGGGATAGAGGTAAAACGTTACCCTTTGTTCTTCTTTTAACGGTTGAACGGAGATCTGTGCATGTTGGAAATCAGAGCTGTCTACGCCTCTGTCGTGTGGACGACCCTGCCAGTGGTGGGTGCCTATTCTAAAGACTGTTCATGATCTGTGACGCATTGGCCTGTTCATGATCTGTGACGTGGACAAGTAGCAGCGAGACGGCGGTTGGCATGCCTCCCAATTCAGTGTTTGTCCTCCTAGACCGTGCACCATATGATGAGGGGGAAGCAAAACCTCTGAGGCTGTCGACGTACAGCACTCGACCATTATGCGCTGTTTTCGGGGTAGATGCCATGTTCTCTCGCTCATTCACGGTGTTCGTGTTTTTTGGTTCTTTCCCCCCGATCTTGCGGCAGGAATATCTTCACCGGGCACGACATTACCTGCAGCTCCAACAGCAAGTCGACGAGCTACTTTTGGGGGCCACGCGGGAAGGCCAAGAACCGATAGCACCCGGGGACATTCGTGGCGTGTGGGTAGCGTCGGACGATCCGATCGTTCTTGAAGAAGTCAGGCGCCTGACCCCGCACTACTTTCCCGGCGGCAGTGTCTACGGGTGGGCCCAGAAAAAGGCCGAGGAAACGAGAATTGGCGGGAGCCTTTCGGTGAGGCTTTGGTTAAGATGCGCATGAAAACGCACCCAGTTAGGAAACCCTTGTTGCACCAGCGCTTGGGGTACCCGGCCCCTGGTATGATACACGAAGCCTCTAGGGGTGATATGTGTGTGGTCTGATGAGTGACGGAGTTACCTACGCCTTGCTTGGGCTTTCTTGCTCACCTCTGCATATGGCCATACATACCAGCCCCCAGAGGCTCCGTGTATCGTATCGACCACCGGGTATCCCAAGCAGGCCGCCTAGCGGGCGCGGTACGATTCCGGAGACTCTTCAAAACTTGCCAGGGTTCAACGGCAACTCCAGTTCCAACAGATCTATCAAAAACTTGTGGTACTTGCGAGTTCCTTCCGATGATAAGCCCATCATCCCAGGTAACATCATCACTGCTGCTGCTACTGCTGCTGAGTGCTTCTTCCTCGGAACAGGGGAGCTGCTGCCAGAAAGCATTCGGAATATGACAGGAAACATAGGCTATCATCCAAACTTGCAAGTATCGGAGATCTCGTAAATCTAAGTGGGAGGTTTGGAACATGGCTGCTTCGACCCGGTAGTTGTTGTGAAAGTCCACCTCCTTGCTGTGACGTCTGGACACATCTAGTGAGCTACCATCCTCTTTATTAACTGATTAGTACCCTACAGAGGTAGGGATAGCAACGAAACAAGGCATACTTTCGAACAGCCGTCTTGCTCCTCAACACGGCCTTCGTCCACCTCCCCTCGCCCCCCCCACTGCTCCCATTCCACCAGAGTTACCGCAGCTTTGTCTACGAGTTTGCAGATCTCATCCACCTTATTCGAGCAGATGTTATGGTGGGGAGCGCGGGCGACAGTGGTGTTGGCGTGGTGACCTTGCTGAGGACAGCATATCGCAAGCCGAGGGATTCCAGCCTAAGCGTAGACACGTATTAGAGTCAGGGCGGTCAGTCGGCCCGAGTATATAAATTCTGTGATGGAGTTCGGATCGCCAGACTTGAGTTTGGTCGTGTGGGCATCCGATGTACTTCGCGTCTGTATGATTATTTCCCAGTTTTTAAGTGTCTTGTGTGTCATGTCGAAGTTGTCTCAGGCAAGTCGATCGTTATACAGCAGTGAAGTTTTCTTGATCGTAAGGGATCAGTTCCACTGTTTTGACTCGGCTACTGTTTCTAGCGTTTGGAATGAAGGTCAAGTCTCAGATGGAAGGAGTAGGGTCGAACGTGCGATTGATTCCGGAAACGCAAGACGCGCTTTCCATAACAAGTTCAACTGCTGTACCCGGATGCTGAAAAGTATGTCTCCTGCATCTATATGGTTTTCGGAGCGTTTGGTTAAAATTAGTTTCGTGTACGAGTATGGCCTCGTGAGGTGTGGAGTACGGCCCCTAACAGCTACCCAGGGTGTGTTGCCCCAATACCTGCTCACGGATTGTAGGAGTTGGTCGGGGACTGCATGAATGGCAACAATCCAGCAAGAAGCCAAGATGTTGGTGTTTCCGTGAGCCCCCTTTTGGGTGTTGATTTTCGGCATGTTTTTCTGTTTATTTTGTGCGGTTGCTGGCAAATTTGTCGTGTTCTTCCTACCATTTATGTATTCTATAGGTCTGGAGCGGGCTTACAGGTGTCAGTCACGCTACCATCCAGAACGGGAGGTCAAGAAGTGCATTTTCGTGGCATCCAACCGTACGCCCACAAATTGACTATACATGCCGTTAGGTGTAGACTAAAGACCACTTGTCGGGCATGTCCGACGGTTAGTGTCCTGTCTTCGAACAAACGAAGAAACAGGATACTGTCCAAGCCGGGACTCCGGTTCTCAAGGAAGTCGGTTTTCCTGGCGCACAGTGCCGGCCCACTCGTAACGAACATTTTTTGCTTGAGAAAGGCTTAAAATCACTTTTACGAAGCTACAGACAGGATTGTTATGTATTGTAGTGCCGGCGGCAGAGGCGAATTTCTTACGTCCCCATGGTTCGTTATGTTCACTACTTGCAGCCTGGGTTTCTTGTGAGTAGACCTGTAGTGTTGTACTTAGGGGGATGCTTGTGAAGTGATGGAGGTAGGACCTGGGTCGTCGCCGATATATAAGTTATGGCATTTGGAGGTATCCATGTGACGGTGCGTTACCGCGGTTATTTGACTTTGTCAGATGTTTTTTTTCGACGTCATGCCAGATTGCGGCTTTGCGCCGATTCTTGTGCCCTTCTGTTCACCATAGTGTGCGATTGGGTCCGATCGTGTACGATTTGTGTGGCAATCACGGTGTGCATCGCACGGAGACAATGAGGAAGAGCACGGGAAAACAGCAACAACCTGCATCTGTGGTTGGACAAGAGGTCTACACAGCTTGAGGTGAAGAAGCTACAGAGGTGCAGATTTCATGACACTGGCTGGCGTTATCGAGCAGAATCAAGCTGCTTGATGCTTGCGTTCTTTCCTTTTGTCTTGCTCTAGAAACAATAGTCACGCTTCTCGGGTCACGTTTTGGGTCCCCACGCATGTATGTCGGCTCCCGATGGGCAGCGAGGCAGCAGGGACTCTACAGTACAGTCGAGGGACCCTTTTAGTGCCGGTACGTGCACAGAGCGTTCACCGGCACTAAATCGGGCACCCGGCACTATTGCGAATAGTGCCAAAACGGCACTATTGAGGGCTGGCCAATCCCTCATTAGTGCCGGTACCGGCACTAATGAGGTTGTGTTCGATTTATGGTGTAGCGCCCACGCTTACGGGGCCAACAAAGAACGAAATGGATCGACACTATTACTGTACTGTTGAGTGAAGTTCCAGCATGGGCGTGGGCAGAGTTGAGTTTTCTTTTTGTTGTCTTGGGGCGCTCTTTGGTTCTTCATTTTCTTCTGCACCTCACTTATTTGCTTATTTGTGTACTGTCGTCGGGACAAATTCTCTCCTGTTTGCCTGGCGCACCCGCTTCGATGTTGCAAGAAAAAAAAAACAAGCACGACAGGCAGCGCACCGCAAAAAATCAAACAACCGTTACCACAGCTGTAACCCC